ACTATATTGATACCATAGAATTCCAATATAATTTATCAAGCTTAGTAACTAAGCTGTATTTGGGTCTAAAAAAATATGAAATTTTCGAGCAGACTGAAGACACAACCTAACTTGGTTAGAAAGAAAGAGATGGCATACAAACATGTTAAAACAGCTGAGAAAGCCACTAGGGGAACATTCTAAGATGTTGATTGATTATTCATATGTCATATATTAAAGTAAGTGTATATAAGGGACTGTTTCTAAAAATGGAAAGAGGTGAGCGGGACCACTGTGTTCGATTCAGTACATGAGTGATATCTCAACAAATAGAAAAGATGAGGTTCTTTTTTTATATTTTAGCTTGTCAATATTGGTAATTTGAGTTCCTAATTTGCATGAAACTATAGACTTAGTATTTTTTACATCAAGGATATCTAATTTATGCCAGTGCTGCATTCAACATACCACATGACACACAAAAATCTATGTTTAACTGTGTTTTTTTACTATTTACTTATAAATTAAGAAATTAAATAATGTATAATACTAAAATTTGAATTATAATCTACAGTTTGATACCAAACTTATCGACATAAATGAGTGCGAGTCAGCAAACGAGATGACGTCCTTTGAGCTGTGACTCGTCTGGAGAGGGTTAATGTATTAAGATTTGATGCATGTTTTCTTAATTATATGTTATGTAGTGATGTTTTTATCAGTATATTTCTTTTAACTTTCTCAATACAGGGTCCAATTTTACCTGTACTATTTTAATACTATTTAATAATAGTTTTAATATTATTACTTTTAATACAGTGTGTTTATCATCACAAAATTTGGCATACTTTTAGTACACATTACAAGTATTTTGTACACAAAAAATCGGTATTTTTTAATGAAGTATTTGTCCGTGAATATCTCGAGTATTTGTTTTAAATAGTTTGTGTGCAAAATAATTTTCACACTAAGATTAAAAGTACTTTTCATCATCTCAAAAATCTCAAATTTCCTTTGTGTAATCCATAAAACCTCCTAAATGCATTTCAAACTTTTTTCACTAAATTTTTATAGTTTATCTTATTTTCTCTACCCTATCTCAAAACAGGAATGGTCAAATCGACCGACCTCGTAACCACCAAAAAAAATCAAATAGACCTACATTAACC